GAGATGGATGGAGGCGTGGGTCCGGTTCTGCTGGTCCGAGGCCTGCTGTGGCTCATTTGAAGGAGTTTTCCCCAGAGAGCCACATTCAGAGACGTGAGGCGATGGATGGATGTGAGCTGGAGGAGGAGGAACATCCCAGAAACACAAGCTGCCAGCATGCCGATTTGTTTTGCGGCAGACTTTTGTCGCTGTTCCTTGTTTGTGTCGTTTTTTTTTTTTGTCTGAATCATTTTTTCTTACTTTTGTAGTTTTGTGTCTCGTGTTCTCATTTTCCTCCATGTTTGCGTTGTGTTGTGTCGCTCAGTGCTCTTTTGTGTCTCGTTTGTGTTATTTTGTTGTGTTCTCGTCATTTTGTGTCTCACTGGTTTTATTCTGTCTCCTTTTCTCATGTTGTGTCTCATTATTGTCGTTTTGTGTTTCGGTTGTTCGGTTTTGTGTTTTGTTTTGGGTTTTCTTGTCATTTTGTGCCTTGTTTATATCCGTTTGTTTCTTGTTTGTGTTGTGTTTGTTAACTTGTTTGTAATTTCGTGTCTTCTTTGCATCGGTTTGTGTCGTGTTGTTCCACCAGGTGGCGCCGCTTCCTGTTTAATCCTGTAGAGACCAGAGGAGGCGTCACTCTGACGACTGGCTTTAATTCCTTAAGTTACCTCACACTGAATTTATCTTTAGACTGACTAATGCAGAAATCTGAGTACAGATCCATCCATCATCTCTACACCTTCATCCTCACCAGGGTCATGGGGGGCGGAGCCTATCCCAGCTGACTCAGGGTGAAGGCAGGTTCACCTGGACAGGTAACCAGTCTATCACAGGGCTACACTTAGAGACAGACAACCAAGCACACTCACATTCACACCTACGGACAATTTACAATCACCAATTAACCTCAGCATGTTTCTGGACTGTGGGAGGAAGCCGGAGAACCCGGAGAGAACCCACGCTGCACGGGGAGAACATGGAGACTCCACACAGGAAGATCTCGGTTCGGGCAGCATCATGGTGTCAGATAGCTGGTGAGACCGCTGACCGATAACTCGCTCCGGTTCAGTTCCCGACCAGGAGGACGATCACACCTCTGGCAGGAGGAAAGGTTCTGCCTCAGGCCGGATTCCTTCTCAGCAGAGTCTGAGTAATGTCGGGGGTTTGTTTCAGGATACGCTGAATTTAAAGTCCTGTTGACAGACTGGAGGCTCCCTCCAGGTCATGTAGACCTAACCCCGGCTGTTCCCAGATAACCTGGATAAGCCACAAGCTGACAGCCCGACGCTGCTCCGGGGAAATATAACTCTGACCGGGATGAGTGCTGGGCTGAATTGATGAATGTGGAGGTGTGTGGAGGAGTGATGAGCGGCTTAAACTCCACAACGAGCTTTCCACCGTTTGACAAAAACAGATATTCAGCCGGGACAGTGACTGATGGCGTTTCAAAGGGCTGCAGATGTTAATTAGCTCCATATTGTGTGTGGTGCAGAGTGGAGCAGATGACGGTGACCTCTGGCTGACAGAATGATGCGTTTACTGACGTAAAGCTCCTGATTGTAGAGTTTGTATTTAACTTGAGCAGAAGGAGAAAGTCGGACGTGGTGTTTTTGGTTGTTTTTTCCGTCACGAGGGCTTTTTGGCGACACGCAGCACTGAGCATGCTCAGTCCCCGCACAGCCAAGTCAGAGAGCCTCCGTTCCCTCCTGGGACGCAAATCTCTGCGTTTGGCCCCAATTTGTTGCCGTAGCAGCGTCGTGCGAACCCGTCAGATTCACCCTTTATTGTGTCGCTATGAAACGGGTAAAAGAAAATGTAACAAAACAGGAAGTGACCTACATTTCAGTGACATGTTTTTGCGCTCTCGTCCGTTTCCTTTCACGCAACGCATGACGGCCCATATTGCTGGCTAGTGGCCACTGGCTGTACGCTACCTTTCACAGTGCATTGTGGGATGTTTTAGCGACCATACTGGGTGTAACAGCTGTAAACCAAACTGGGATCAGCGGGGATAGAATCAGAGCTGAGGAGGACCTGACGACATGGAGGCAGCAGCTGATTGGTCAGACGGCAGCTGAAGTGGTTCTGATGTAATATCACGAGTTCAGGCTCATAGTTTACTGATGTGTTCAAGGACAGTTGGAAACGTCTGTTTTTACAGGTTGTGGCTGATAAGGGCTGTGATGTAGGTGACTATCTGGAGAGGACATGTTGTTCAGGTTTTGGGGTTCAGAGGGTTAATATCGACACCAGGTGGACGGTAAACAGACGTTTGGAATAAAAGTGACGACAACACCACTTGACTTGTCCTCTCGTGAGGTTTGGGCGGTTTGGACGAGCTCTTACGGTGGATCGCTGACTGCTGAGTCAGCGGGGAGATTTGGCTGAACTCGTGGAGGCAGATCCGACGAGGAGGATGGAATCAGAGAGCAGAGCGACACACATGTAGGTAAACGTCATTGGCTCCAGCGCCGCACTCAGGCTGCAGCCGACACATCACCGAAAACAAACCGACCGCTGCTCAGGAAGAGCAAAACCAACCCGAGCGTGGAAAAACAGCTTCATTCAAACTCTGACTCAAACAAGTGCTTTCTGGTGAAACTCCCGCTCGATCAGATTTACTGCAGCTGGACGCCGCCGCCGCGTCTGACTGATTGTAATGACTGTTTCTGAAGGCAGCGAGCATTTCTCTTCAGTTCTGGCTGGATTAAGTTGACGGCACATTTCCTGCAGTTGTTTTATGGTCGTGCAGCAGTCGTCCACGTTTTAAAGACGACGCTCAGACACGGAGCGGGAAAGGCCACGCCGTTCAAACTACCGATGTTCCATGAACACCTCACAGGCATCCATCCATCATCTCTACACCTTCATCCTCACTGGGGGGCGGAGCCTATCCCAGCTGACTCAGGGTGAAGGCAGGTTCACCTGGACAGGTAACCAGTCTATCACAGGGCTACACTTAGAGACAGACAACCAAGCACACTCACATTCACACCTACGGACAATTTACAATCACCAATTAACCTCAGCATGTTTCTGGACTGTGGGAGGAAGCCGGAGAACCCGGAGAGAACCCACGCTGCACGGGGAGAACATGGAGACTCCACACAGGAAGATCCCGGGTGTCCTCACCGGGACGTGAACCGGCGACCTTCTAGCTGTGAGGCGCTAACGGTGCTGACCACTGATCCACCTGCAGCCCCCTCACAGGCACACAAAATGTTCCCTAAACGCCCCCCAGACACTGGAGTAAGAGCTTTGGAAGACTTGGTAGAAGAAGTTTACTGATGTTCCCTGAACGCCTCGCTCCATCAGTGACTGTGAGACCAAACATGAGTTAGAAGTACGGTGTCAGGTTTACCTGAGTCCTGAACATCTGGAGTACTGCTGACCAATGAGAATGCGTAGCGGCACCTGACCTGACGGTGGCGCTGTGCGTGCTGGAAACACGCTTGTGTTTTGTGGCGTTGCCTCTGTGGTTTGTGTAACTCTTCTGTGTCTGTGTGGAGTTTCAGCAAACAGCTGGACTCTGAGCTTCAGGTCAGCGAAAGTTAAAGAAGCCTGCAGGTGAAAGGACAGAAAACAGATGAGCTCATGTGGAATTCCTGGACTCCGTCAGGTGTTTTTCTCAGGAATCAGGAGTAGATTTGGAACAAATTCCTGGGAACATACCAGGAATCTGAGATGATGAAGGAGGTAATAATGAATAATTTATCTGAGGGAACAAACACGGGGAGATTTGTGGAATAATTCCCACCTGAAGCTGCTGAACCCGACCGCTGGGTGTTTTCCTCCGAGCTGCGATGCTGCTCAGCTGACTGCTCTTCTGTGTGTTGATGAGAGCTCTTGAATCCTGTAATTCCAGCGGTGTTGTTTCCTCCGGTGATGACTGCCTCTCTGTGTCTGCTAAAGGAATGATGACCTGAGCACATTTCTGTCTCTGCGTCCGTGAAGACTCTTGAAACTCAATCAGAAGAGGAGCTGCTCCAGCGTCTCCTGCGACTAATAGCTCTTATCATCTGCAGGACACAGCGACGGATTTATTCCTTTCTCAAACTGCCTGTGAAGACCCTCCTGTTTGGACGGAGGGCCTTTGATTGTAACCCAGTGGTGCTCAAAAGACGATCAGGACTTTGTGGCTCCACTTTAGCTAATTGAGCCCGACTGGGTCTCAGTTCTAAGTTCATTAGCGCAGTGACATTCAAACGGGGAGTGTTTGCTTCCAAGTGAACAAACAGACGTCCTGAAACACAAAGTGTAGCGCCTCTCACACAGACGTGGATCACAGGTCGGACCGAAGACTTTTAAAGGAAA